CTTCTGGTGCGCACAGCGCGGTTCTGTATACCCCCACAGGCTGGGCATTGTGCCTGCCCTCCAGGGCAGACTCAGGCCTCATCTGCGAACTGGCCTGGTGGGAGGGAACAGGCCACGTTCGTAGGGGTGCATGATTCTGCAGCACCGGGTTGACACTGGCCCCAAGCCCACTGGCTGCAGCAGCTCCAGCCTCCACCGAGGGCAAGAGCCTGTACCTGGCACGGTGGACTCACCTTGGCATAGTCCAGAGGAAGTTGATCCTCAGGGCACTTGAAGACTCCTTCACTGTGAAGGGGGAAGGGACAGGGTCAAGGCGCCATACTATGGGAAGAGAGATCCCTGGGCCCCGTCCCCTCAACCAGGGTGGCCTCCTTCTCTCACCAGACCGGTTCCCAGGTTCCCAGGCAGCCCTACCGGAGAGGGCAAGTAGAGGCCTGAGGGTACCCACTTCTACAGGACCCCCAAAGATCCCAGCTCCTGTCCCGGGGAGGGTGGATTTGGGCCCAGTGGAGGCAGAGGCAGCTGCTTCAGACAGCATTTGGCCAACAGGTGGCAGCTGGCACCCCCTCCCCCAGGATGGCAGCTGGACGGCGAAAGGAACAGGCTGCCCAGCCACCCAGTCCCCCAGGCTACTTTTCATTGGCTGGGCTGAAAGCTGTTGGGGGAAGGTGAACACGGATGGGCTGAGGTTAAGAGCCAGGGCTGCCCAAGCCCCTGTGAGGGTGCCCAGCCAAGAACCCAGGGCAAAGGTCAGCTTGGGGCCACCTTACCCCAACTCTCCCCTCCTCCTACGTGGGTGTGTCTTCTAAAGCAAAGAGGAGGAAAGGCTCGCTCCGAGGTACTGTGTTTACACTCCCACCCAGTTCTCACAACCTGCCTGAGAAGGGGCTCAGTGTCTCCATTTTGCAGATGAAAGAACTGAGGCTCACAGGTGAACTGGACATGTCTGTCTGATTCCACAGCTCAGACAGTTTCTACTACGCTGTACACAGAAGAGAGGCCAGTCCAAGAAAAAGTGTCCAGGCAAGCACAGCCAAGACTCTGGTCACTGCACGGCAGGCACCTGAAGCCTGCTGACCCTGTCCGCTGCCCTCCCTCTCCTCCACCAATCCCACACCAGGCTGTTAGCACTCGAGGAACCTGTGGCATGCCTCCTTCTGCCAACATGGCCTTGCTGACGCTAGCCAGGACCAGTCACGCATGCCTGGCGCGGCCTAGGCAGGGCAAGGGCTCACCCAGCAGGACTGAAGACCCTCAGGCGTGGCATTTCTGGCAAGTCTGAGTCAGGAAGGTGGGAGGCAGGCAAGGATGAAGGCGGAAGCAGAGGCTACGTGGCAGCCCTGTCCATGATGGCACTTTGCAGGACGTGGGCAGTCCATGCCCCAGGTGCTCAAAGGATTTCTAGCACCCACCTCCTCCCCCTGACCCCACGACTACTACTGGGTATGCTGCCAATGCCAAGAAAATACATGCCCAGGCACTGAGGAGGTATGCCCGTGCCCACAGGGTAACCAGGCTTCCTGGACCAACCTGAGTAACGGCGCTGGCAGGAGAACGGAAAGAGGGGTGGGCCGTGGGGGAGGGGGTCTGCTTGGCTGCTTCAGGAATGTGCTGACTTAGTGGTTTTGGAGTCAGGGAGGGGACTGAGGCAAGTCCCCAGGCTTCAGGCAGAGGATTAGCCTGGGCAGCTTGGGGCCCAGCCAGGACAAAGGTTCCCCCAGTGCTATGGACACCCTAGTTGGTAGGGTGGGAGGCGCAGGGCCTGTCCCACCATCCCCTCCCTCCCGGGCCTCAGCGTCAGAGTTCAGGCGCCAGCCGAGGTGGGGAGGCAAGGGCAGAGACTGCTCCAGGCCGTGCAGTGGAGGCCCAGGCCCAGGCCCAGGGGAGAAGACAGGATGGGGGGAAGGGGCTGTGGGAGAGGAAGAGGGGATTTCCGGGAGGGGGAGGGGAGAAGCAGCAGAGAGGGACAGAAGAGGGAAACAAGCCTGACAGCCCCCTCCCCCGTTCCTTCCCCGAGGCAGTCAGGGTGGGTCAGCAGAGGAGGGGGGAGGCTCAGCTGGCCTCATCTGGAAGCCAGAGGGCTGGGGAAGAGCACGGGAGAAGACAATGGGGCTGTGTGTAGGTAGGGGAGTGTGTGTACACTGAAGGGAGGAGGGAGGCGGGCGAGGGAAAAGGAGGAGGGGGCAGCACAGCAGCTTGTGCAGGAGCATATGTGAGGGCAGGACCGGCCCAGGCTGCGGGGAACCGAAAACAAAGGGCCTGCTGAGATTTCCGCCGGGCAAGGGGCTGCGGAGGACGGAGGAACGGAATCCCAGAGGTGCTCTCCCTGCCTGCGCCCCACGAAGCCTCAGCAAACAGCCTCCTGAGCACTGGCTGGCCCAGCCTTCCAAGGTGTTCTTGGCCCACGACCTCGCCACGACACGGGGCTCCCTCTTCTTGCCTCCCCACACCCAGGACTGAGCAGGTCCCAGCGTGGACAGGAGCCTCAGAACACCGCAGGGCGCCCAGAACTCAACGAGTGCCCAAGAGCCCACGGAAGACCTGGGTCGGGAGAGGGCAGGGGGCGTTCAGTCACACCCAGGGTGCGACCCCCTCCCCCTCACGACTTCTAGACCACTCGCAGTACTCAGGACCCCCAGGGGCAGGGAGGGACACCCAACGGGTTCCTGTTTCAGGGGAGATCGGGAGCGTCGTAGACCTCCCTGTATCGTGCGACCACAAGCAGACCGGGCTTACACACCAGTTAAGCCTTTAGGTAATTGTGCGACCGTGGGCAAGTAGCAGCCTTTCTTTGAATCTGAATCTCGTTTCTTCATCTGTGAAATGGGAGAACAATAGCTGCCGTTCTCGGAACGTCCGAAGAACCAGAAAAGCTTAGATGGGTGAAAGCTCGCGGAGGCTTAAGGTGCTGCGCGGGGCACAGGGTTTTGTCCTCCTCTTCCCAGGATTCAAAGTTCAAGGGTGAAGCCGTTCTGGCTCTCAGGTGAGGGGGAAGGGCCGGCCACGGATCAGGAAGGGCGTCCTTTCCCACCTCCACCCTGCGGGAAGGCACGGAATTCTTCCCACCTGGCGCGTGGCACGCGGGACCCTACGGATCAGTGCGTGGGGTCCTCCCTCGGGGCCTGACGTCAGTGCCGCCCTGTGACGTCACGGTGGGCGCCCCTGAGGTCACGGGGCCGCAGCGCAGACAAAGGCCCGGCGTGCCTCCGGCCTGGGTCCTCCCCCGGCGGCGTCTCCCACCCCCACCGGCCGTCCCCTGCTCCCGCCGGGCCGCACCTGAGGAACTCCTGCAGGCAGGTGTCGCAGAATCGGTGGCCGCAGGTAGAAACCTGCACGGGCTCGCGCATGGGCTTCCCGCACAGCGGGCACAGCAGCCGCCGCTTGGGCTTCTCCAAGAACTTGTAGTCAAAGCCGGGCATGGCGGGCGGGCACGGGCGAGCGGGGCCGGGTTCGCGGCGGCCCCACAGCCCGCGCCTCGCTCCAGCCGCGCTCCCGGCTGCGGGCGGCGCCGACTGGCAGCCGCGGCCTGCGCCCAGCCCTTGAGCTCGCCCGCCGGAAGAGGGGGCGGGGCCGTGCCCGCGCGGTCCTAGTGCCCGCCCCGCAGGGTTCCCCACCCACCCGGCGTTCCGGCAGCTTCGGGGTTGGCACTCAGACAGGCTCTCCTCCTCCAGGAAGCAGGGTCTCCTCTTTATGCTTGGGAACAGAGGTCGAGGCCCCGCTACTCCCCAGGGTCGGGGGTGGGGTTGGGGGGGAGCTCTGATGCTGGATGGGGCGGAGAGCCTCGCGGCATGGGCCGCGCCACAAAGATTCCCTTCTCCAGAGTCAACAGCTCGGCCTCGGGGGCCACGTGTCGCCCAAGGGCCCGGGGCTCCAGCTTCCAGGTGCTAGGCAGCTGAAGCCTGGCAACCAGATCCGGGGAGCCCAGCTGGGCAGGGAGGCCGGGCTGGGAACTGGGCCAGAGGAACCTCGGCCCGGGCCTCAGGCTGCGCCCACATTCCTCTCTCCACCGCGGCCCTGCAGCCCAGATGGAGCCCAGCCCAGCCCTGGGGTGGCCGCCACCCCCAGCCCTCAAGAGACCACACTCTAGGCAGGCAGCTGATTTTTTATTGGCGCTATTTCCCAGTCATCTGGGAAACTAGACTGGTCCAGCCAGCTACCCTTTCTCCCAACGTGCTTTGGGGGAATGGCATGGGGTGAAGGGCAACCTTCAGCAGGGATGTCCTCTGCAGTATACTGCAGCCCATGCACTCCCCCAGGGGAAGGGAGGCACTCAGATTGTGTAAACCCCTGCCTCAGGATATAGGAGTGGGGGCAGGTGGTAGCACTCCCGGGACCTCCCTGCCCCAGGCAATGCAGGGGCTAGGCCTCTGGAATGGCCAGAACAGGCAGGCCCCAGCTTGCCTTACTCCAAAGCACTGAGCTGCGCTCCCAGTAGACACCAGCGACTTATTTTCAAACTGGGCTGGGGGAAGGGGCAGCGTCTGGGTGGAGCCACAGCTACCTCCAGCCTTTTTCTGCAGAGGCTCTGGAGACCTCCCTGCTTCCAAAAGTTATGTCTGGCCTCCAACTCTAGCCAGGCTGAACCCTGGGGACGTTGACTAAAGATAAGAAGGGGTGGGGAGAGGAAAGAGGGATGTTGGGGGAATAGGGTGGGTTGAGTTTTACATATCCAGGGCCAAAGGCAGAGCAGGGGCTTTACTGGTTCTTATACGCCATTGATGATACGATCCAGGGGGCTGATCATGCCTGAGGCACCTGCACTTTTCAAGAACATTTACAGGAGAAGCAATATCGGGGTCGTCCAGAGGTGTATCCAGGTGCCTCAAGGGGGGACTGGCTCATCTGTGGCGGCTGGAGAGCACAAAAGAGAAATCGCTGCAGCCTCCCAGAGGGCGATGCCTCCAGCAAGCCTCAGCTCCCACACTGGGCCCTGGACTCTGGACCCTGCCAGGCCGGAAAGAGAGATTCAAACTAGACTTGAGGGCTGGGGGAGAAAGAACGCATCTGGGCCCTGGGGAGGAGCGGAGGCAGCCCTTCAGGCACAAGAAGCACCTACCCTTGCCCACCCCAGGAGCTCACTTTTGCCCAGCAGCTTCTGCTTTCATTTATCTGGGGGCTGAAAATGCTTTTAATAATTTGGGCTGTGACCACTGGGGATGGGAATGTGGGCAGGGGCCAGCTGGGTTAACCCTTGTGTGGGTGAGGGTGAAGTTATAACTCACGGCGGATAGCCAGGAGAGTGTTTCCATGGCAACAGGACACAGAAGTCACTGTGTAGGGGTGTGTCTCATCCAGCTGCACTGGCCTAGGGAGTCCAGCATCCTCATCCCTCCTTCCCAGTCGACCTCGGGCCCCTTTGCCCCAAGAGTACACTTCACTTTCTGCCAAAGAGAATCCCAAGGAGAGAAATGGGAGAAAGACACACCTTAGCAGGCAGCTAGCTTCCTAGATTGCCATACTGGCCCCAACATGGGGTTGCTGAGTTCAGTAGCCCTGAGCATAACCCCCCATTGCTCCTGGGTCTGCCCACACCCCTACCTGCCCCCATAGTGCCCACTAATCACCTGCCCCAATGGCCACAGTGAAGGCATCCCCACAGGCCACCATTGCTATCTTGATTCCCTGGAGGCCTTGGACTTGACAAGGTACCCGGCTGACCCGGCGAGCGATGGTACCCAACTGCCCATGCTGATTGCTGCCGAATGTATAGCAGTCACCAGAGGCTGTAGGGGAGGAGAGAGGAAAGGAAGGAAAGGGTGCCTCAACAGAGGGCCCAAGGAAGCCAGGGGAGTCCACCTTTGGCCTCCTGTGCCCAGGTCCTACTTACCAGTTACAGCAGCTGAATGAGCAGTGCCCAGGTCCACGCTCAGCAGGGGCTCCCGGTCCAGGGGTGCAGAACCTAGTGGTGTGAAGCTCAGGGCCTCCTCCACTTGCTGGTGTGGGGCAGGCTCCTCCCCTAGGGAGAGATGGTCCAGGCCCAGCTTGTTGAACCTGAGGGCAGAGCCAAAAGCCAAGTCCAGCTGACACAGTTTATATAGACTGTCCTCCCCACACCTATCTGGGCAGGAGCTGGTGCACCAGGGGACATATCTTACACTGGGTTGAACCCACAGAACACTCAAGAGCCGCTCAGTTCTAATCCCTGGTGGGAGGTAGGCAATGACAGATGGAGCACTGGCAGCTAAGGGAGGTGGGGGAGGGCAGGCTAGTCATTGTAGTGCACCTAGTTCACGTACCTGTTGCTCCCACAGGCCAGGGCTTGGCCAGGCACAGTGAGGATCATGGAGGAGTCAATGCCACATACAACCCGCTGGGCTTCCTGTCCTGGGGGCACGGGTACCTGCTGGGGGCAGCTGTGGGACTCCCTGGTGCCTAGTCCCAGCCGGCCTACAAGGAGAAACCGGCACTGGGCTAGTTTGAGCTTGTCTAGCTTAGTGATACTAGGATAAGGAGGACCCACAGTGCAGCATGAGTGAAGGCTGTTCCTGACTGACATGCCCACCCTTGGCCCCTCCGTGGGTCAAAATTCTACTCCTCCTTTAAGGCCCTGTTCAGGTGCCACGTCTGTCTTCTCCAGGTAGAGTCCCTTGCCATTCCTTGTGTTCCCACACCTCTGGACCTTGGGTGAGCCCTGATGCTGTCTGTCCTCTATCATGTTGGAGATGTGTCATCCTTCCCCCATCTAGACTGAGTCCTCCAGGAGGACGGGGACCCCTATCTAAGTCACCCCTAGTTTCAATGCCCAGCCTGATGCCTGACCCAGGGAGGGGCACAACATATATTTCTGGATGAATGAAATCTCTCTCATTACATCATGAGCACCCGAAGGAATCGACATCATGTTCATCTCGTCTCAGCACCCAGCACAAGGTGGGCACACATTGGGTGTGCAATAAAGGTTTGTCGAGTGAATAAATGAATCAGAGAGAAAAGGAGGAGGAGAAAACAGGCCATAGGGTAGAAGATGGCTATGAAGAGAAATAAATCATGGCTGGGGGGTTCCAGAGGCTAGAACAGAGTGAAATCTTACCACCATCTCCACGGCCCCAGGCAAATAGTTCTCGCTCAGTGGACAAGGCCAGCACATGAGACGCCCCACAGGCCACCTGCACCATCTCATAGCCCAGCAGGGCCTCCACAATGGTGGGCTAGACAGAGAGGAAGCAAGGGCAGACTGGGCAAGGGGCCTGGACTAGCCACCTGGCCTCAGCATCCTCTGTAGGGATGAAGTTGGAGGCTGCAAATTCTCATGAGGTGGCTGTCTCTTTAACTCCCCCCACACACATATTGCAACCACTGCGGAAGCCTGGTCTTTCTGTACTTCCCCAGATGCTGGCCAGAACAGGTGCAGCCTGGGAGGTACAGGGACCTGTGGCTGCTGGGGATTCCCCTGCCCCCAAGCTGGGTGTCAACTCTCAAATGTGGGCTGCTTGCCATCTCCCCACTTCCTCCTCCCCAATGTACACTCAAAACCCACCTGGCTGATGTCATTGAGGCTGCCATGGCCTAGGCACCCATTGCTGCCACTGCCAAAGGTCATGATGATGCCTCGGTCTGGGGAGGGGAGCAGTGAGGAAAGGGAAAGGAAAGCGGTTAGGCTGTTTTTCCGGACAGACCAGTGCAACCTTGGATCCGAGGAGCAAGAAAGAGCTAGTTGGAGGCTAGGGCTGGAAGAATTGGATGGGGGGAGAAAAGGACTGGGGTCTTTCTTCCCAAGTGTGTGACTTTGGACAAGTGACAGCCTCTGAGCCTTAGTTTCTAGATCTGTCAAATGGGGATGATGTAACTGCCTTGTCAGGCCTGCTGTGAAGGTAAAGGAGATCGGGTAAGTAAAGCACTCCCTGGAAGATAAAAGCATTATTAAGTGAGCAGTTAGCAAATGATAGGCAAGGAAGGAAATTGTTCTCAGGGGGTCTTCTTATAGCTGAGTCCCCACAGGCTAGTCCCCTGACCGGCTCACCAGTCAGGCAGGCCGTGAAGAGGTCCCCACAGGCCACATGCTTGATAGTCACACCCGACTGGCCCTCCAGGAAACGGGAGATGAACTGGGGCTGCTGCTGCTCCACCGCCCCAGGGAGGAGGGGGCCCCCTCCAGCGCCTAGCGGCGGGGCCTGCGAGGGGACAGGGGAGGGCGTGGGCGGCGCCTGAGTGCTCAGCTCCTGAGCCACGCCCCCCTCCATTCAAGGCCCCCCCCCCCCCCCCCCCCCATGGGGGAACAGCAACTGCTCTCATTTCCCCCAGGGGAGCGGACCGGAGCCACAGCTGGCAGTCATTAAACACCCTGATCAGGCCAGGAATGGCCGAGATATTAATAGCCAGGACACAGCCTCCCAGAAGGAGGGACAGTAACCTCTGCGGGTCATGGGGATGCCCGCCCCCGCCCCGCCTGCTCACCTCCCAAAGTATGAGGCGCCCGGAGCGCGTGACGCCAGCCTTCTGCGTGCGCCCCGCTGCCACCTGGACCACCACTGTGTTGAGCATTGGCAGCCGCAGCGGCACACTGAGCCCGCCACCCCACACGTACACCGATGACAGGGGCGGCGGAATGGCCGGCCGGGCAGGTCCCCGGGGAACACCTGCGGGGACAACTCATCAGGCCTATTAAATTGGTGGGATGGACTTCCCTGGTGGTCCAGTGGATAAGACTCCACGCTCCCAATGCAGGGGGGCCGGGTTCAATCCCTGGTCAGGGAACTAGATCCTGCAAGCATGCCGCAACTAAAAATCCCCACGTGCTGCAACAAAGATCCCCACATGCCGCAACTAAGACCCCGCACATCCTAAATTAATTAATTAATTAATTAAAAAAAATAAATTGGTGAGAATGCCATGGTGTCCGTCGGAACCCCTGCAGTCGCCCCGACTGACCTCTGCAACGGCCACTGGTGGTCCTGCCCCCTGTGCTGCCGGGGGCCATGGGTGGCCCGGTGGCCAGGGGCTTCTCTGCCCTGCAGGACAGATGGGGGCCTCAGGACAAGGACCCTCCCTGGCATCCCCACACCCAGAAATGGTGGACTTGCCGAGAATGCCCCTCTTTGCCCCAGGCCTACTGTGCTCCCACGGGGTGCCCCACTGCTGCCCAGGGTCCCCTCCCTGCACCGGCCTCCGCATGCGGACGCTGCCCAGGTCGGTGTGGAGGTTGAGGAGCGCCCGGATGCAGAGGGGCTGCGCCATGATGTGGCTGAGCGGTGGCCGCTGTGCAGGCTCCAGGCTGAGGAGACTCAGAACCAGCTGGCGCAGCTCAGGGCTGTACCGGTCAGAGATGGGCGCAAAGGTGCCGCTCATGATCTTCAGCACCAGCGCTGGCAGGTTCTGTGAAGGCACCACGTGTGGGGTTGGCCAGAACCTCAGGCCAGGCTCTTAAACTGCAGCACCCCCAGCTCCAGCCCCAGCCCCTAGCCTAGTGGGGTGGCCACAGCCCTGCACTCAGAAGCCATCGGTCTGGTGAGGGGACTCCCAGGATGATAGGGGAGCCAAACCCTGCTTTCAAGAACCTCTGATAGGGGAGCTGCAGCCATGTCAGCTGGCTGCATGTTGGGAAAACTCACGTCTTGCCCTTAGGAGGGTCCCTAATCTGATGGGAGAGCCCTACCCTCAGGAGCCCTCAGTTTAATGGGGGTCCCAAGCCCTACCTTAAGGAACCCATAGTCTTAGGGAAGCCACAGCCCTGGGCTGGGGTAATCCACCAGTCTGATGAGAGAGACATAAGTGAGCCACAAGAGAAGAAACACAGAAGTGGTTGGAGCCAAGGACTTCAGGAGATAGAGGTAGGGATCCCAGTTGTCCCCCTGGGGGGGACTTACTCACCGCAGCCTCAAAGGCCCTCTTGAGGCTGGCCAGCTCATATAGGACACAGCCCAGGGCCCAGATGTCACTCTTCTGGTTGTAGGGCTTGCCCTCACACAGTTCAGGGGAAATGTAGCATGGAGTACCCACCACCTGCAGGAGGGAAGCTGATATTACAGTCCCGGGGTGGGAGGCCCAAGGCTCTGCCCAAAAGCCCACTTAGAGACAGCTTCTCCCCAAAGTAGGCAAAAGTGCTTCCTCCTGCAGGACCATCCAGCCAGGAACTACGGGGCCAAGGTCTTGGGGGGGGGCGGCTGGGGACAGGGATGCAAAGTAGACCTTGGCCCTCAAAAGCTCCAGCACCCTTGAGGTCCCGTCCATGCCCAGGCACCGTGTAGGCCTTGCTCTTGCTGCTAAGGATCTTGGAGATGCCGAAGTCACCAATCTTGACGACCATGCGGTGTTTGTCTAGAAGGATGTTTTGGGTCTTGAGGTCCCGGTGCAGGATGAGGTGGGTGTGCACGTGATGCAGCGCCAGCAGGATCTGCACAAAGAAGTGCAGGATGGTCTCCTCCTCCAGCAGGGAATTACAGCGCTTCTGGATGAACTCAGCCAGGGTGCCACCTGCAGCCGCAAGGAACTAGTCAAGATCCAGCCTTCTCCGTGCTTGAGATTTTCCTTTTATGAAACTAAAGACCCAGACAGGGCAAGGGCCTGCCAGTGTCACACAACTGGGGTCAGAACCCTATACCTCTGACCCTCAGCCAAGCCCATTCCAAGGAGGGAAGCTGGCTGATCTGTGCCTGCCTGGTGAGAGGCCCTTGGAGCCAGGCCAGTGCAAGGAGGCTGGCCCACCTGGTGCATATTCCATGGCGATCATGAGAGCCTTGTCCTCCAGGAAGTTCTCGTAGTACTCAATGACATTGGGATGGTTGAGCAGCTTGAGGACCTGGCACTCATTCTGGGCTGCCTGCCTCTCTTCCTTGGTCATCTGCTCCACTGGGATCTGCTTGATGATTACCAGCTTCTGGTCAGCCTTGCGAAGGCACAGGTGAACAATCCTGAGGACGTGGGGTACAGGAGTGGGTGCCAGCTGAGCTTCCAGCCACATATCAGGCAGGGCAGACCTGGTGACTGGATGTTCCTTAGGACAAGGGAATTGACACCTAGACTAAGAAGTCATCTAAGTTGGTGCGCAGAACACTGAGTTTAGGAATAGGGAGAACCGACCACAAGCTGTCTGAGACTTTGGGCAAGTCGTTTAACTTAACTGGGACTCAGTTTCACCACAGGCACAATGACTGTGCCTAATAAAGTTAGTCTTGGTCTCTGTAAGCCTGCATAGACTCTGGAGTTAACTGCCTGGTTCAAATCCTGGCTCCTCCTCTTACTATTTATCTGGTCTTAAATTATGTGACATCAGGATCTGGAAAATAGGATCGATCTCACAAGGTTGTTGAGAGGATCAAATGAGAAAATGCATGTACTGCACTTAGCACAGCGCCTGGCACATCAAAAGTACTCAGTGAGTAGGAGCCATTCATTTTATTATTTTCTGCCAATTCTGTAGTCAGTGTTCATAAAAGCAGGGTTTTGTTCTTTCTCCTTCACCACTATAGCCCCAGTGCATAGCCTAGTGCATACCCCAGCACTTAGTAGGAGCTCAATAAGTATCTGTTGAATGATGGACTATCTAAGTATCAACTGTATATCTCCAGCTCAGACCTCTCCTCTGAGCCTCAGACTTACATATTCAACTACCTGCTTTGCAGCTCTACCTGAATGGCTGGCAAGCATCCTGAATTTTAACAAATACAAAACTCTTGATTCCTGCCCTTGAAACCTTTCCTTCCTCAGTTTCTTCCATCTCAGTAAATGACACCACCATCCCCCAGTTATTAAAGTCCCCCAGTTAGTAAAGTCAGACACCTGAAAATCATGCCAGAATCTTTCCTCTATCTCACACTAACATCAGTAAATCTTGTTTCTACTACCTCCAAAATACTGGGAACCCACCTATTTCTCTCTGTCTTCTACTATAACCCTTGGCCAAATTATCATTTCTTGCCTAAAATACTGCACTAGACTTCAGATGGTCCCTTTCACTCTGGTCACCCTCAAATCTAAATTCTACACAGCAGCCAGAGTGACATTTTAAAAATGCAAATCATATCAAGACCATTCCTCTGCTTAAACCTCATTTCCTTTACACTGCAAATAAATTCAACTCCTTTACCTCAGCCTACAAGGCCGTAATTTGGTTCCCGCTCTCTGTGACAATCACATTTTATTCCATTCTTTACCTTGCCCACTACATTCCAACTACATTAGTCTTTTTCTCAGTTCTTTGAATACTCTGAATTCTTTCCCACGTGAGGACCTTAGCATAAACTGTTTCCTCCGCCTGAGAAGCTCTGTCTTTTTCAGACTACATACTGGTCCTCATTCCTCAAGTCTTGGTTTGAAACTTCACCTCTCACAGAAATTTTCCCTGATCATCCCAAATGAATACTCCCTGGTGTTGTCCTCTATTCTCGCCGTTTGTTAATCACTGCTTTAACAATGTCCTGTTTATTGTATAATTTTCCGATAGTCTGTAAGCTCCGAGACGGAAAGGAGTACGCCTGTTTGGTCTTAACTGTATACCCAGTATCGAATGCCTGACGTGTATAGTTGCTACTCAACATTTGTTGAACGAATGAGTCAGGATCAAAGAGCACTCTGAGGGGGGCCGCAAAGGCTGGCCGGGGGCGTGACCTCCTTGGAGGCGGAGTTTCCCAACCAAGATTAGGGCAGGAAGTCTGCGCAGGGCTTCCCGGATTAGGTCCCCACGCATCGGGGCGGGGCTAAACGGGTAGCGATTTTGCTGTCGGAGTTGGGGTTTATTTTCCCTCTCCCCGAGCAATTGCCTCCCCCAGAGCCCTGGCTCACCCGAAGGCACCTCTGCCCACCACTCGGATCCGCTCGTACTTCTCCATCTCATTTCTCAGAGTCACATTTCCGGAACCCTAAAACTCAGACACAGCGCGTGCGCGGGCCCGCCCTCTCTAGAACCACGCCCCCTCCACTGCAAGATAATTGAGGGGCGGAGCTAGTGGAGCTAGGTGTTGGTTCAGCCTCTCATTTGTCTCCGCTAATTTGCATCGTCCCTGCGGCCCGGATCCGCAGTCGCCCTCCCCGTGTGCAAGGAATGGGGCGATATGCCATTTCTTGGCATGCCCCGCAAAAGCCAGCACCCTACCAGCTACTTCCTACACACGTGGCCGCATCCGGCCCTCGCAAAGCTTCCTTAGACCGCAGGGGTTCCCCGCGCAAGCCGAGTGAGGGTGGGAAGGAAGGACCGATCTCTCTCTGCCCCACTCTTTGCCCGCTAGTGACGCTGTTTCCGAAGGAGAGGGCAGATTCTCACCGGCACGCAAACGATAAACACTACCAAAACTGAACCGAGTCGGCGCTCTCGGTCTGTGGGGCAGGGTGCCGGCCGGATTAGTTTCGTGTTTGCCTAGGGAGGGACCGGGGAAACCCCGACCTGTGCAAGTTGATTCACCTAGGGAGGACGTGACGCGGTCTCCGGGCTGTCCCGACTAGTGAGCTAGTGAGCACTGCACTCGTCAACACCCTCAACTCCCCAACGCACACATACAACGCTGCCGCTGCCGCAGAGTAATCTGCCTTCAGTTCTCAACTAGAGAGAAATTCCTTGGGGGAAGATGGGAGGGAAGTGGACTACTACCTGAAAGCTTCGGGGAGAAGGGGAAAGACCCTTGTTCGGCTGATATGGGTTCAAGGCTTCTGCCCAGAGGTAGGGGGTCGGTTAGTACAATTGTCTAAGATCTTGACCAGAACTGAGTTTAATTCCAGGTCTCTCCCTGGCGCCTCCTGCTCTTCACGAGCTCCATAAAAGCTCAGTTTAGGGAGCAGGAAGGATGGTGATTAGCTAAGGGATAGCATCCCTATTTCTGAGTGGGCGAGGAAAGTGAGGAAAGGGGTGTTTATCTTCAGCTCCCACCCTGCCCCTTGAAAGTGTGCCCAAACCTACCCACATGGAATGACCACTGGAAGGGCCCCTCAGTCTGGCTCGGGCCGCTGTGGCTGTCGGATAAAGCTGCCCTGTGAGCAAAGGGGAGCACAGAGGGGAAGGCCGCTCAGCCGGGACACTCCGTGCTCTCACCTAGAAACAGATTGGGCCTTGGTTGACCAAGAAGCCCCAAGAGGGGTTAATGTGTAACCTTGGAGCCATCAGGGGAGGCAGAACAAACACCCAAACCGCTTTGCGCCTCGCGTGTCTGGCTTTTCCTCCCTCTCGCAGCACCTCCACCACCTCCCCCCCACACGCCCCCGCCCCCGCCCCAACTACTCCTTTCTCCTTTACCCCCGTCCCCGCCTCTCCGCCGCCCTTCAGTTTGCCTGGTTCCTTCGCGGGCGGGAGGGGATCCTGCGCCACGGTGAGGACAGGCTGACATCTAGTGGTCGCGAGCTGCAACTTCTCCACGCCACTGGCCTGCGGAGTGAGAGTCACCCCAGCGGCCTGGGCAAATCGGCCGTCTTCCCCGCCCTAGCCTCCAGGGAGCAGGGAGAAGAGAGCTGGGACTGTCTGAGGGAGGACTATAACTGCCGCGCGGCCCCAGGACCCCGAGAGCCGGACGGGAGACGGGTGATGAGTTAGTCGAGTTTCTAGGCACCGACTCGGTGCGGGACGAGGTAGAGGCAGGTAAACGTGTTCGTCTTGGGCTCGAAGAAGCTAGTGATCCAGTGGAACAAGGTCCGGGCGGAGATCACAGTCCTAAGCGGGGCACCGGCTGGTCCCCAGAACCAGGGATTAAGGACGTGGGTTGTGACGGGCCTCGCTTAGTTCTGCCCACAAAGGAGTTGAGGGCGGGGAGAGAGAGTTCTCTCAGTACCCGCCCAGGCAGGGGAGCCGGGACCCCTGGGGAAAGTGGGCATGCGGTTAACTAGGCCAAGCGAGCAAAGTGGGACTCCGTCGGCAGTCGGGGGCTGCCAGCGAGGGGTGGCTCGATGGCGGCTCCCCCAGGACAGCCCATTTTTCCCGAAGTCCGCGGGAACCTGGAGGCGCCGGGGGGGCCCGGGAAATGGGGCTCGCGCCCTCCGTGCTGCAGAGGCGCCGGAGGGGCGGGGACAGGCGGGCGGGGCGGGGCGGGGGCGGGGGCAGAGGCCGGCGGGGAGGGAACTGGAGGAGCGAAGGGGCCTAGAGGTCTTCGCCGAAACCGTGTGTGTGAGGCCGGCGGCCGGCAGGAGAGGCGTCCGGGGTGGACTGGCCCGAGAGGGAGCCCCTTTCCCGAACGGCCGGAGGAGGCCGCCTAGGGGGCGGGCAGAGGCAGGGAGGGCCAGCATGCCCCCAATGCTGTTCCCCGCCCTGCCGCTGCTCCTGGGCGCCACGCTGACCTTCCGGGCGCTCCGGCACGCGCTCTGTCGCCTGCCCCTGCCTGCGCACGTGCGCGCCGACCCCCTGCGCACCTGGCGCTGGCACAACCTTCTCGTCTCCTTCGCCCATTCCATTGTGTCAGGGATCTGGGCGCTACTGTGGTGAGTGAAGGACTGGGGGAGTGAAGGTGGCTAGGGGACCCCGCATTACTCTTTCCTTCACTCACCGGCGGGCTAAGGCCCAGGCAGTCTCACCCGATTCCCGGTTTAAAATGCTGTCCAATCAGGAGCGGCAGCAGCGCCGCGGGGTTGGGGGGGGTTTCTCACCTGGGAAACAGGAGACACCTGGGTTTCAACCGAGCCCCTCCTGGCTCACCCGTCAGCCAATAGCGCCAGCCCAGACCCTCCGGGGACTGGCAAGGGTAATGGCAGGGGGAGTCGTGGGTCCTTGGGGGATACTGAGATGAGAGCCTGCCTTCTCCCTTCCCTTCCAGTATATGGCAGACCCCTGAGATGCTGGTGGACGTTGAGAGCGCATGGTCGCTTTCTGGCTATCTGCTTGTTTGCTTTTCCGCAGGTAGGTCTTGCCCAGGAAGCATTAAAAAGGGGGCACAGGGATAAGCTTCTTGTTCAGTACCATTTATGACCTCTTCCCCCAACCCTCCGCTAGGGTACTTCATCCACGACACACTGGATATTGTGGTTAGCCAACAGGCACGAGCTTCTTGGGAATACCTCGTCCACCACGTCATGGTGAGAAGCAGGGGATGTGGTATAGGCCTGGTGCTAGCAACCTAGTCTCAGCTGTCTTTCTGAACCTGGGAGGTAAAGACCATCTTTTCTTAACTCCACCCCCACCCTGTGTCCCACATCTCATGCTAAAATGCTGAGGGCTGGCAGTCTCTGGGCCCTTGCTTCACTATTTGAGGCCAGCAATCATGGCCTCGCCTTCTTAAGACTGGAAACTCCACCCAGAATCTGTGGGCAGGGATCAAAATTCAATCTTGTTGAATCCACTGTAAACTGTATTTCAGAAAGCAAATAAGGGAAGATTTCCTACCCCTCAATCTGGTAGCCTTGTTATTCCCACCAACTTCCAGGAAAGCCTTGACATCTGGGTTCCCTAACCCATTCTCTCCCTTGCCTTGTAGGCTATGGGTGCCTTCTTTTCAGGCATCTTTTGGAGCAGATTTGTTGGTGGGGGCGTCCTAACACTGCTGGTGGAGGTCAGCAACATCTTTCTCACAATTCGCATGATGATGAAGATCAATAATGCCCAGGACCTCCTCCTCTATCGAGTCAACAAATACATCAACTTGTTTATGTACTTTCTTTTCCGCCTGGCCCCTCAGGCGTACCTCACCCATTTCTTCCTGGGTTACGCCGGCCAGAGGAACCTGGGAACCTTTCTGCTGGGCATCCTGCTTATGCTGGACGTCATGATCCTCGTCTACTTTTCCCGCCTCCTCCGCTCTGACTTCTGCCCCCAAGGTGTCCCCAGCCGGCAACACAAAGACAAGTTCTTGATTGAGTGAAAAACGCATTTAGGGACTTGTGGCAAGGACAGCAAACACAGCCAAGAACACCGTCACACGGACTGAGAAGAGACTTAGCCCCTTGCCTGAGGTGTCCTCTGGGGCCAGCCACTCCACCTTTCAAGCCTGCACCCACTATTGAAAACACTAATGAAAGCACTCTTCTGAAGTCCTTGTCCTTTTTTTTTTTTTTTTTGCGGTACGCGGGCCCCTCACTGTCGCGGCCTCTCCTGTAGCGGAGCACAGGCTCCAGACGCGCAGGCTCAGCGGCCATGGCTCACGGGCCCAGCCGCTCCACGGCATGTGGGATCTTCCCGGACCGGGACACGAACCCATGTCCCCTGCATCGGCAGGCGGACTCTCAACCAGTGCACCACCAAGGAAGCCCTAAAGGGAACTTTTTTTTTAATTGAATTATAGTTGCTTTACAACGTTGTGTTAGTTTCAGGTATACAGCAAAGTAATTCAGATATATATATTTTTCCAGATTATTTTCCATTATAGGTTATTACAAGATATTGAATAGTGTTCCCTGTGTTATACACTAAATCCTTGTTGCTTATCTAGTTTTTATATAGTAGTGTGTATCTGTTAATCCCATACTCCTAATTTATCCCTCCCCTCCCTTTCCCCTTAGGTAACCATAAGTTCGTTTTCTATGTCTGTGAGTCTGTTTCTGTTTTGTATATGGGTTCATTTGTATTATTTTTTAGATTCCACATATAAGTAATATCATATCATATTTGTTTTTCTCTGTCTGCCTTACATCACTTAGGATGATAATCTCTAGGTCCATCCATGTTGCTGCAAATGGGATTGTTTCATTCTTTTTTATGGCTGAGTAGTATTCCACTGTATATATATGTACCACCTCTTGTTCATCCATTCGTCTGTCGATGGGCACTTAGGTTGATTCCATGTCTTCACTATTGTAAGTAGTGCTGCTGTGAACACTGGGGTGCATGTATCTTTTTGAATTAGAGTTTTTGTCTTTTCTGGATGTATGGCCAGGGGTGGGATCACTGGATCATATGGTAGCTCTATTTTTAGGTTTTTGAGGAACCTCCATATCGTTTTCCATAGTGGCTGCCCCAATTTACATTCCCACCAACAGTGTAGGAGGGCTTTAAAGGGAACTTTCAAATGATGAATGCTTTGTTCTGATTTTCTCAGCAAAGCCTTCAGCATATCTGTGCATTCCGTGGACAGAAGAACACAGGCTGTGTACCCAAAATACCACTGGAGACAGTGAGGCCCGGTAGAAACCAAGCCACATGATGATTCCAAGTGGAGTCGTACAAACTGACCGTTGGGTGTTTTCATTGTTTCGGTAGTCACCTCATCGTAATACAAGCCACGATTTGTGGGCGATTACTGTGTGCTGCATTCTCATAGTTCTGTGATTAAGAGCAGGTTTTCAGGGGCTAGTCAGCCTGAGTATATAAACCAGGACCTGTGGCCTCTTAGCTTTGTGACCTTGGTGAGACACTTTGCCTCTCTGTGCCTCAGTTTTCTCTCAGAAAGTGGGGATGGTGACACGAGTGCCTACTCTCCTCGGGGCAAAGGAGAATTCAGCGTGCTCACAAGCACTTGGCATCTAGTAAACACTCAGTAAAAGTTAAATAACATTAACTGTAAACAAATCGCCTCATTCAAATCACAATAACTTTGAGGGAGAATAAGCAGATGGGCCATATTCACAGTTACTAGGTGTCAGAGTTGATATTTGGACTGAGGCTGTTTTCAGAATCAGTGCTGTTAGCCAGTGTGCTATACTGTGTTGATTGGGATTAATAAACCAAGTACTTATGGGCAGTGGTTTTTTCCATGTGTAGCATAACCATTTTGGCTTGCTTCATATATCCCTGGACCTGCTTTCTTTCTGGACCATCTTCCGCTGCCTCCAGACTCCCCCTCTCACAGGAGACTGAGGCAGAGAGGCGGCCCCTCCTTCCAACAGCTCCCCTGACTGCGTTCCCATCTCAGTCAATGGGGACTTCATTTTTCCAGCAGTTCCAGCAAAGAACTTGGAAGTTATCCTAGTCTCCTCTGTTTATCTGATACATTCACTCTGTCTGCAGATCACACTGGCTCTATCTTTACAGTCACCATCCAGAATCTAGCCAGGTCTCCCCACCCTCACCGTTATACCTTCCACCACCATCGCTTACCTGGGTGACCACAAGAGCCTCGTCAGCGACTTTCCTTGTGTCTAACAGGCTGCTGTCCTCCCAGCAGTCACACTGAACTCTAAAAAGTCACTCCTCGGCTCCAAATCGTCCACGCCTCCCCGTCTTGCTCCACGGGAAACCCAAAGCTCTTCCCGTGATCTGCTAGACCCGACACTGCCCCCCAACACACACACACACACACACACACACACACATTCAGACACATTCCTGAGACCCCAGCTCCTACTGCTGTCACCCTTACTTTGCCCTGACCTCAGAGCTTCTGTAGTTGCTGTTCCCTCTGCCTGGATGACTCTGCCCCATCCATCGTCAAGGCTGAAAGTCATGCTTCCTCTCACTTCCTTAGAACTTTTTTTTTTTTTTATATAGTGAAAACTTTTCTATTTAGAATTAGTCAGCTGGACTCAGTTTAGATGACCCCAATGTTGTTGGCAACATCCAAAGCGTCATAGTCAGGAGCCAGTCGAACATATGCCTCTTCTCTCCGTCAGGCCTGATCGGGGCGTTGACCTTTGCCACGTCAGTGTCATAGAGCTTCCTCCCAGCCGGTTTAATTTGGTGCCTGTTGGCCTTGACATCCACATTGAACACCGGTGTGTTGCTGTCTTCTGTTTTCTTCATGGCTGTCTCGGTGGTGAGGGGGAACTTGATGATGGCATAGCGGTCAAGCTTGTTTCTCCTAGCGGCGCTCTTCCAAGGATATTTGGGCTGCCTCCTGAGCCGCAGCGTTTTGGGCCGTCGGAAGGTGGGTGACGTCCGGATCTTCTTTTTTTTGTGGCTGTGTACGCCTTTCAACACTGCTTTCTTGGCCTTCAAAGCCTTTGCTTTGGCTTCGGCTTTGGGAGGGGCAGGGACTGAGAGAAGGAAAGAAGGAAAGAAAAATCCCGAGGGTGCGGGATTCAGAAATCAATCACTTCTGGCCTCAAGACCCATAGTGGGAGCCCCAGGCCACACGTGCATCAGTGGTTCCTTTGAAGACATCACAAGTCTCAGGAGTTTAAAATTTTTCCATCATATGCACGTTTCTAGGGGGAACTTGGGATACGATGAGAAAGAAACTAGCAATGACCGAAAGCTTGACACTTGCTAAAAATATGAACTAGTAGTTTTATGCATACCATCGCCCAGCCATTGGCGGAGAGTATATAGCCCCATTTAACATGGGGATAAAAGAGAAGTTGAGGGTACCGATTCCTTACAGGTCTAGAGACATGGAGCTCCCCAGAGCCGACTGTCTGGCTGTCCCCCGCAGGTGGTACCGGCCGGGCTTGCCTCCCCAACACCCTTCACGGAAGCCCAGACCGTGCGGCTGGGGCCACACGCTCCTCAGCGTTGCCAAAACTCGAGGAGCTGTCCCACAGCAGACACCGCAAGGCCTGGCTCAGCCACCATCCTCCCAGTCCATTCACTCTGCGGGGACCCCAGGCCAGCCAGCTGTGTATCCCCAACCCCAGCACACACCTTCCTTCTTGGCTTTCGGCGCCATCTTCGTGAAAAGGGTTTCCGAGAGTTGTTCCCACGGGCTTATAGAGTCCAGTCTCACAGAAGACTCGCGATACTTTTTACTTGAAGCTGATTGGATACTCTGCAGCGCGGCGCCCGCCGGGAATGGTAGTTAGATTTTTATTTCCTCGCGAGAGGGATTAAACTAGCACCACCCCTCCGTTTGTTAGACCCTAAAGCTTCATGGGGGTTGTAGTGTTTTGGAGACGCGTGTTTATTTTATGTGGCGGGTGGATGGTGTAGCCTGCGGCTGCACGGGACTGAGCGCTTCACATCTTGAGCAACTTTAGGGAGGAGGATTACAGGGTTGCAGTTACGCTGCAAACTGGAATTAATACACTGTAGTTAGATTGACTCAGGTAGAGTGAAGCAAAATTCTAGAACGTTAGAGCAGAATTTGCCCAGTCCAACTCCCTCAGACATCTGTGGAAATTGAGGTCGAGAGAGGGGACACGGCTTATTTATAACACGGTGATTAGGTGGCAGAAAAAGTCGAGTCAGGCGGAGGGGAAGAGCAAAGTGTCAGAAGAGGTAGGAGGTGGCCACATTACCCCTATGACAGATTTCATGCGTCTTCCCGATAACACTCTTGAAGAGACTCTACCAATTATTCCAAATACCCAGAGATCAGATTTCTCCAGGATACGCTCGTTCTTCTTGGGAATAATTTCATTCACAGTCCCCTCCCTTTAAGCAGTCTTCTCTTCCTTGATCCAGTCATCTTTGCGTCCCCAAATTCAGTTCCTGACACAGAGCAAGGTTTAGTAAACGCTCGGGTTTTTTTCTTTGAACGACTGTGCTTATCCCATATCACATCGCCTTTCTGTCCTCCCCCTCCTCTCTTGGAATCACCTTTGAAGGTGAGATTTGTTGTGTGCTACCCCCTCTTCTAGCCTGCAGACTGCAAAAAAGAAAAGTCCTGGGGGAGTGGGGGTAGATTTCAATGGGGTCAGAGCGAAGAACGTCCATACCAAAGGAGAGTCCCCATGTCCCAGAGCGGTGACTTCTCCAAAGGGAGGAATTCTGGGTCCCCTAGCCCTCCTTTATCCTCCACCAAGGGAGGCAGCTTGGTCTTCGGCGCCCCAGGCCCCCAATCTAACACGGCAGCCTTGGAGGAAAACGCACCAGATTTCGGACCTCTCTCTCCTTGGTGGCACCTCGTTCCGACCCTGGCACCCCCTGTACGCTCCCCACCACCACCTCCCAGGGCAGAAGGGCGAGTGGGGGCAGACCCTATGAGTCACGTCCTGGGCCTGGAGTTGAGGAGGGAAGCGCCGCCTCTCCTAGGGCCCCTTCTCTCCCCCTTTCCCCTCCCGCTGGTTCCTGGCGCAGCCAGATGCTGCGCAGCGATCACCGATTCCCCATCATCAATTCGACTGGGTAAGGGTCCCCATGGAGGCTCCGCCCGGCACAGGAGGTGCAAGGGAGAGAGACCTGGGGGATCCCGATCTGGGCAGGTTCCAACCAGGGTGAGGGCGGGCCCGCAGCCGGGTGAGGCGTCTGCAGGGGGAGCCTGACCTGGGGCAGCGTTGGCGGGAGGAGGGGAGGGGGAGGCTGGGGCGGACTGCGAGGCCTGGAGCTGCCGGGAGAGGGGCGGGGGGCGGCCCTTTTCCAGGAATTTCCGGGGATCAAGTTACAGCGCTTGCGAAGGGAGAGCCGAGTGGGACGCGAGGCCCTGCAGCGCACTGGGCCCCTCGCCCCCTCCTCCAGCAGTCCAACGGCCGTGCTGTGCCGTCCCTGCCCACACTGACCCCGTGTGGCGGGGCCGCTCCGCGCCCCCGGGCTTCTCTGTTATGGTAGGGTCGCCTCAACCCCGAGTTGTCGTCGGGTCTTCACGGCCTCGAGTTATTGTAGGAACTATCCGGCCCCGGGTTATTGTAGGGTCAACGCGGGCTCGGGTCCCCGCAGACGGGACTCTACGCCCCAACTTGACGGCCGAGGGGTCTCCTCGCCCCCGAGTCGTCCTGGGGACGCCCCGGGCCCGGGTGATTGTGGGTTCGCCCCGGCCCCGGGTGATTGTCTCATCCCCGTGGCCCGCGGTGGTTGTAGCGTCCCCGAGGCCACGGGCTCCCGTAGGCTCCCCGTGGCCCCGAGTTATAGTCGGGACCCCTCGGTCGCGGGTGATTGTCGGGTCTCCACGGGCCCGGGTCGCTGGGGCGGATCAGGCCTCCGCGCCTTCTCAGGGCGCCCCGCAAGGCCGCAGGCAAGATGAACATTCTGGCGCCGGTGCGGAGGGACCGCGTCCTGACGGAGCTGCCCCAGGTAGGCGCCAGGGCCACGTCGGGCTTCTGGCTGCGGTGGGTGTGGGCGGGGAGTAGGCGGCACCAGACCGGTTACAGGCTTGGGCCCAGCCCTGCCGCCCAGCTAGGCCTGCTGCTTCTGGGTGGTCTCCTCCCCATCCCCCGCCGCGGGCTGCCTGGTTGCGGGAAGAGGGCCAGGAATGGGTGAGTCTCGTTCTCTTCCCTCCCTCTCAGTACCTGAGGAAGGAGGCCGCTTTGCACGTGCACAAAGACTTCCACCCCCGCGTCACCTGCGCCTGCCAGGAGCACCGGACAGGCACCGTGGGGTGAGTTAGAGACAACTGTAGTCAAAGCAAGGGTACAGAGCCAACATCTGGATGCTCCGTTTCAGCTTTTACCAGCTATGTGGTTATTCCCGCTTTTCATGCCCCTGTGTGCTCCTGTTTCTTCCAGCTAGGTTGAGGTGAGTCCTAAGAGATGGGGTGGGGTAGGAAGGTGGCAGTTTAATTCCTGACAGAGAGAAGGTGTCCAACATGAGGGCGCGGTCGCCAGCTCAGCTTCCCACACACCATCTATTTGAGCTCCAGGGCAGGGAGCAGTCCTAGAGGGATGAGTCCTATTGTGGGTAAAAAAAAGGTAACACTGTTAACAGTTGCCACCAGTAATTGAGCATTTACTGTGTGCCCAAGCAGTGTGTTGTATACTATTATTGTCTATTATTAAGTGGAAAACACCACCACTTTTAAGATGTATCCTGATTTCAGAGATGTTAGAATGTATGTTTGTGTGTGTATGTCTCAGAATATAGGACATTTATCTCATTTTAACCTTCACAACAACCCAGTAAAATGTATGTTAAATCCCCACTTAACAAAGCTTGAAACTGAGGCTCAGAGAAGCTGAGAAACTTGTCCTAAGTCACACAGCTAGTAAGTGAGAGCTGGAATTCAAAATCATGTCTCTCTGATACTAAAACAAAAACACTCCTCCCCAGCATATCTGTCCAGGCCTGGTGTCTATGGTAACCTCAGCTTGGGTGCAGCTACCTTTGTAGACCTACTAGGGAGCATTGGGACTCCTCTGAGTGAAAGAGCTAGCGCTCACTTTTCCTGCCCACTCTTGTGTCCAGCAGATTTAAGATCTCCAAGGTCATTGTGGTGGGGGACCTGTCAGTGGGGAAGACTTGTCTCATTAATAGGTAAGAGGGTGCTGCAGCTGAGCTGGTCTGGGCTGGGCAGAGTGGGCCCAGGTCTAGCCAGGTGGGCTGGGCTCAGGACCAGAGCATCTGGTGCCCCCTCAGGTTCTGCAAAGACACCTTTGACAAGAACTACAAGGCCACCATCGGAGTGGACTTTGAGATGGAACGATTTGAGGTGTTGGGCGTCCCCTTCAGTCTGCAGCTGTGAGTTCTTCCTCCACTCCTTCCCACCATTCCTTCTCCCAGCACCTATCTCCCACCACAGCCACCAGCACCACCCTGCCCCACACATACCTGTGTTCCCCCCCTCCTTCCTCCCAGCTGGGACACCGCTGGACAGGAGAGGTTCAAATGCATTGCATCGACCTACTACCGAGGAGCTCAAGGTAAGGGCCACAGTTAAGTGACGTAGGTGGGGGCACCTGGCCTCTAGTCTAGGGCTGGAGGGATTGTGGAAATGAACCAGTAGTGTCTTCCCCAACAATCTGCATGTTTTCTTCCACTCTTCCAGCCATCATCATCGTTTTCAACCTGAATGATGTGGCCTCCCTGGAACATACCAAGTACGTGCGCATGCTGAACTATAATGGGGGCTCTGGGAAGAGAAGGTTCAGAAAAGAGAGGGGTCAGGAGCATGGAAGGGAAGGAGAAGAATGTATCCAGGACCAGAGAGAGGGTCCCTGGGCATATAAGTGTCAGCGGGGGGAGCCTGTCTAGCTCCCTCATCCCTTGCTGTCCACTGTCTATGGCAGGCAGTGGCTAGCTGATGCACTCAAGGAGAATGACCCTTCCAGTGTGCTTCTCTTCCTCGTGGGTTCCAAGAAGGACCTGAGTGTGAGTGTGCCAGTGGGGGGAGTTCCCACCTTGACAAGGGAAACCCCACCCCCAGCATCTGACTCTGGCTTTCCCTCAGACTCCTGCTCAGTATATGCTAATGGAGAAAGATGCACTCAAGGTGGCCCAAGAGATGAAGGCCGAGTACTGGGCAGTCTCATCTCTCACTGGTGAGTCAGAGGCGTCCCGCCTTCTGCTGTGGCATTCC